GTCTTTTTTCCAGGTTACATATAGTAAGTCGACATCGCGAGATATTTTATGACACCAAGCCTGCTTCCAGAGTTGCCTGTATCGACTTGGCGAGATAATTTATGTTATTAAGTCGACTTCCTAATTCAAGTAAGTCAACTTGGCGAGATAATTTATGTCATCAAGTCTACTTCCAGAACTCGGTATGTCGTCAAGGAGAGGTAATTTTTGTTGTCAAGTCTACTTCCGGATTTGACTTGTGTCAACTTGGCCGCGAGATAAGTTAAATACTCAAGTCGAATTCCTAATTCTTGTAAGTCAACTTGGCGAGAAAATACGCTGCATGTCACGTTCACTTATGAATACTAGTTAGTTCATGCCTGCATGTTTTACACTTGATGACATGGAATATCTCGCCAAGTTGACTTACTAGAATTATGAAGTCAACTTGCAACATAATTTATATCGCCAAGTCCACACAGTGAATTTTAGAAGCAGACTTGGTGACATAAATTATCTCGCGAAGTCGACTTACTAGAATTAGGAAGTCGACTCACTGACATAGATTATCTTTTCAAGTCGACCTACCAGAATTAGGAACTTGGATTGTCTACATAAATTTTCTTGCCAAGTCGTCTTCCCACAATTGTAAAGTCGACTTGACAATATAAATTATCTCGCCGAGTTGACATCACGAATTCCAAAAGCAGTCTTGATGACGTAAGTTATCTCGCCAAGACGTCTCGCCAATTAAGGGAGTCGACTTAACTACATAAATAATCTCACCAAGTCGACATAGGGAATTCCGAAAGTAGACTTGATGTCATGAAATATCTCCCAAGTCGACTTACTATAATTTGGAAGTCGACTTGACTACATCATTTATCTTGTTAAATCGACTAAATACACTTTATATGAAAAATTATCTCGGTATCTGAACAAGTCGGATGGCACTTATAAAGCTCCGTAGTAAAATTATTTCGGAACTTTCCAGAAACTTTATTTCCCATAATAATGTATAAACGCACAGAACAAACGCCCACGCCCATAGAGCTACAAGATCTACCTAGCAGTCCATATAGCTGTCGAAGTTGAGTCGAGGTTGGCAAAAAAAGACTACGTTTGGCACATCATGGGTACGGATCGTACGTTTGTGGCATTGGCCATGGTGAGTAGATTTGGTTGTAAACTACAAAAAGACTATAATGAGTATGTGGGCCTAGGCTTGAATGATTTTACTTCAGTAGGGCCTAGGCCTACTTCCCAAATTTTGGCCTTTTTCTGCACCAGTATGAGGATACGGGCGACGCACGACGGAAAATTGCATGTTTGGAGCTAGCCCCACTAGCACTACTACTGTGGCACGGATGGATCGGGAGTGAGATTCCGTGCCACACTAGTGGGGCCATTTTGGAGCTGGTAAATGGCAGAATTGAGACACAACAAAAAACAAAAGGCGACAAACGATATGGAATTCCATACACGGATGATGGGGTGTCTTGGTGGGGGGTGGGGCATTGGCAGATGTAGCCCCACAAATACATGTACGGCTGTGGTGGCTCTTTTTTAGTTTTACAATCTGTCTCTTATCTGTCGCGACCACAGCCCTACTTCAACAGTTCAAGGCATGTCTTAAATGCCTGAAATCCAAACTGCAGGATATCTTCTGAAATGAGAATGACTCAACAATTTTACTTTACACTGGCATATTCCTCAAAGTTAGGGCTTTTATATGAGCACCCTAAAGCTTTCCAAAAACAAGATTTTCTGATGTATGGTGCCTTGAAAAAACGACCTGTAGTATTACATTACAAAAGTAGCCATTTTGAAAAACCATCCCTCTGCAAAATGGGTCAAATAGTGCCACTTTCAAACCCGATTGCATCCAAATTGCTCAGAATTGGAAGCCCTGAGTCCGGCCCAGAGGTCCAGTCTCATATTTCTTCAATTCCCCAGTTCCATGGCTCTCAGGACCCTCTAATATAGAATATTTTGAGTCTATAACTTTTATTAATGAGCTCGGCGGACATATTTCTGGCCTAAATACGAGGGTGCACCCTTTCGTTTTTCAAAATGGCACCGCCCGTGGTCAGCATGTAATACTACAGGCCGGGTTTTTTCAAGGTACCATACGTCGGAAAATTCATGATTTTGGAAAACTTTAGGGTGCTCGTATGAAAGTCCAAACTGAGGAATACGCCAGTGTACGTAACATCGTTGAGTCATTCTCATTTCAGAAGACATTTAGGATTCAAAGTTTGTGACAATCGTGCAGTTTGGATTTCAGGCATTTAAGACATGCCTTGAAGTAGGGCTGTGGTGGCGACAGATAAGAGAGGTTCTAAAAGAGAGCCCTATTTGTGGGGCTTAGGCAGATGGAGAAGGGAATTTTTAAAAAATGGGGGAGGGGCTTTGAAAACCATAAAAAGGGGGTTCATTACCTTCAGCATCATGTCCCTATTATAAGGGAACAAATTTTACCTTTTCGAAATAACTTATCAAAACGGGTTGTTGGTGAAGTCCACTTTTATGTCGGAAAGAAAAGAGAACAAGGCTTTTGGTTTTGAGGGAAATTTTTTGGGTTAAACGGCAGTGTACCGCGAAGAGCTGTGAATGACAAATAAGCGAATGCAGTCTGGTTCCCTGACCTGGGGATGGAGATTTGTTTTGATGAATCCAAATGCCTGAGTCAGGTAACCAGACGAAAAAGAAAATGGTGTGATTTGACTGAGTGGTTGTCTTTTGCCAATCTCTGGTTAGAATTTGAAGTTTTCTTGCTTAAATGTTGTAACGTCTCTCTTACGGTAGGGAGGCATTATCATAAAGAATGAGAGTCATTGGATTGACTTATACACACACTACTGTTCTATTCTGAAGAATTATTATTCACATCTTCTCCTTGTTTACAATGAGACTCTTTTGCTAGTTTTTCAAAAGCAAAATGGTATCTTCAGATAGAAATCTTTGCATCGTTTTGTAGCTTGTTAGACACTCTTTCAGCTGATATAAATTTGCTTTGTGAGGAACTTGCTTTGAGACAATACCTCAAAAATAAAGAAAAAAAAATCACAGTCACTTTAATTCAAATTCAAAGAACGTTAAAGGGAAGTGAAAGGAAGTCACACGAGGTCCTTTCTTCGTGTCCCCCTTCCTTTCCTGTTATGTTGCAATGAAATACAAATGCATGATGATCTCACTTCCAAACCGAGGTGATCATCTCTTTAAAATGATCACAGCATTTTTGAAAAACTGCGGTAGCCACAGGGTGCCTGCTCATTCCAGAAATAACTGTCAGTAGACAATGTGGTAGAGGGCGCCATCATTCACAGAGATCAGTCATAATGCGCTTTTGCCCATGCATCCATTGCAAAAATGTCTTTCTGTAGCCAAATTGAAAACCCATGAGGACTCTAAATGAGTCCCAAAGCCTTGATAAATTGTTTAAATTGATGTGAGTGAAAATAATTTGATAGTATTCACTGATGTCTGGGTCAGGTCGGGTTTTAAACCACTGTACCGTCTTCATTCACAGCTCTTCGTCACATCATTTTAAGCTGCCGTTTTACCTCATACTATCCCTCAAAATCCAAAGCCCTTTCCTCTTTTCTTTCTGATATGAAAGAGGACATCTCGGCTAACTTAAAATTTAGGTGAGTTGTTTTGAAAAAGTAGACTTGTTTCTTTATTTTGGGAACTGGGTCCTAATGGTAATGAACGCCAAAAAAAGGGCGTCCCTGCTTTCCCCTTTCTCTTCATGGTCTTGGTCTCCTCACTTCTTTCTCTCCTCAGTGCCCACTTCCTGAACAGTAAGGTACATGAACTACCACCTCTCTGCACTCTACCTTGAGAACTCAAAGTCACTACCCTGTCATATTCTGTGTGACTTGGAGCCAACAAGGTTTACATCGTGTCGTAATGCTATAGGGTTGTGGAATCGAATTTTTGTGGTGAAATGGTTCACATGTATAAGAAAGCTATTGAATCAAATTTTCCCCTGTCAGCAAAGCTCATTAATCTATACCTATTAAAAAGCGAGATAAGAAAGTTTCAGAGCATGAGATGGAATATATTTTAAATAAAAAATGAGATTTTTGCGCACCAATTTCTCGCTTCCGTTGACTGATGCTCTGTTCATGCCATTCGTGTTTATCAGACTGCACTTGCATGGAGCCCACCAATGACCGTGCTTGCTCCGCATCTCGGTTCGACTATTTCCTGTAGCGGGGGGGGGGGATTTTTAAGTCTCGCAATCGGTCACCGCTACATGTATGCAGCACAGCACATGTTGCACCAGGATGGTCCTCACCCCCCCCCATTTGCTACATGGTCACCATGACAACCTTTTTTCCATGGATAAGGCCCTACTGTAGGTGCGTGCACGATGTGCAAGAGAATACTTGGTCACGAGCGTGCAGCATTTGAAATACGTGCGCAATAGACTTTACGTTTATGTATATTCATCCTGAGCATGCTGAGTAGCCAGTCAGCCTCATTTTTGTATTCTACACGACCAGGGGCAGTGGAGGAACGCGCACACAGCCCATGGAGTCGAGGTTGGGGAAACAATCAACCTCTTTCCCATGGATATGATCTTGCTGTGCCATGTTGGTTCCCACTGTGCCTTGGGCCATTTCAACTCCTGGTGTTAGAAGATTTACAATGTAGATACAATATGCGCAGAGGTTCGCAAATGTTTGCCCAGTGATATGACATACGAGGGGCCAAGGGTACAGCAAGATGAGTCTTTGTGCCACATTTGTGGACATAATAATACACATATTTATATTTATACCCTTCATCATTTCATGAGGTGACAAATTGAGTGTTCGAATTGGATTTATATATACTGTCCAGGTATTTCTGTCAGTGCTAGTGCTAGTGCTAGTGGAGGGCAGAAGCCTCGGCACACCCTCGCCGTGGACAGAAAGTAGTGAAGAACTAGATGCAGTCACACATGTAAGTACACGTACATGACCACATATTTGTTGCAACTAGCGGCGCCTTTCCATAGGTATTTTTTGGGGGTGCGTTGGATGAAATTGCCAGTGGCTCACTTCCAACATTGGGCGTAAAATTTGTTTTCGAGTTTCACTTCAAGTCACCTGATCAACTTTTTATAACTGTGCTACCTGGCAATTTTTTATGAAGTTCAAAATTTTAACAGATTATGAAAAGAGTAGGTATATATCTATACAGGAAAAATGTGTTTAAAATGTTAATTTGATTTTTATAAAAATGAAGCTCAAAATACATGTACTTACGATTGTCGATGAATGTGAGAATACACACGGATCACCAAACCCAACTCAGACTTGTGTAGGTCAGTATAGTTTTGCCCCCCCCCCACACAAGTATTGCAATAGTGGCATACATATGCATAACTGACATCCGGAATGGTTACACTTTGATGAAGTTTGTTGATGTATTTGTATGTGTCGTCTTTAATGAGAATAAGCTCGGATCAGGGCATAGCACAGCTTTCCATGGAGGTCCTTAGATTTGCAACGTGAGTCGAAGGTGTGTAAGGGCACCTCAGGCAGCGGCCAAGCAAGTGAGTTCATTTTCAGTCTTATTTTCTTCTGAAGCCACCGCCAGTCAAGCCCACTGGACGCGAGGACCATCACGTAGCTGGACTTGGCGACCCGGAAACGTTGGGACCTGATGTAAGTTGGCACTGAAGAGCACCCTCTGACCATGCTGACAGTAGATAAATATATTACATGTGTACAAACATCTCATGATTTGAGGGCAGACTGTCCATGATTAGCTTTCCTACAGTAGGTACTCACACTGGACCAAAATTGGACATGAGTTCCTGACGTGAAGCCGAGGGAATTTGTTGCTTACTTCCAAAGTGGTTTCGGGGGACAGTTTAGTATGCTTTTTGACTTGTGTGGGGATCCTAATGTGTGCACCTGCTTACAGAAAAAATGGTGACTGGCATGTGATGAAGTATGATTCAGTGAGAGCTTGACACTCATCGATATGCGTAAGTATGATGGTAATTTACTTTTCTTACGTTGATGAAGCATCATGCTAGTGAAGAGAGTGGTTACATTGGGCCCTTTGTTTCATGGGAATCTGGATCGCAGTGTTGTTTTGGAGTCTGTCACAAGTCTTTGTAAGTCCATCACAGGTCATTCAGTCTCAAGCGATTCAAATGAAGTGTGACAAAAGCATTCGTTTGTCATTCACCCTGTTACTTGTGAATGGCTTTGTGAAGGGACTTGTGACTGGACTTTTGAAGGAACTTGCGGGAGGACTTGTGATGGACTCGACTCCAACACTGCCAGATTGTGATTGGTGATCTGATGTTAGTTCACGGACACCTAGACACCGGCCAATGAATAGAGTGAACCAGCTTCGAGATCACTGATCCATGTCCTGATCCGTGTGAAACAAACAGGCCCCTTGTGTAAACCATAAAGTGCTCTTGGTTCCATATTAAACCTTAATCCTAAAAGGAAAGTGGGGCGGATTCATAGTACATCAGTATTCAAACATTCCATAGTCAACTTGTCAAGTTCATTTGCAGATGGAGCACGCCACTGCTAACATGGGTGGGATTTTTCAGGGGTAAGCTTTCTCAGCTTTCTACCCGATTTCAGCTGTTATTTGTTTTGAATTTCCGCTTTGTTCCCTCTCTGGCTGTGTACAAAAGTAGAGGAGATTTTCACAGTGCAGCTTTTTTACACCTTTGTATCATTGGTCAATCTCACCCACATTTTTGATTTGATTAACTTTAAGTCTGATATATGTCTGTGATTTGTTCAAGACATGTATAGTAATCATTGGGAATTGGCCAATTTCTTAATATTGCTGCTAGGAAAGGCAGAGATCTTTATTCGACAGAGGTCAAGAATGAAAAAAGAACTTTGAGGTGATATTTATTTAGCCTTGCTGCCCCATCCACCTGGCATCTTGATTCGTTTATTTGTGGCTTGATGGGTATTCCATTGTAACTGCATCCACAGCCACAGAGCATGTCAACTCTGAGTGCACCTCTTCACATTTGTCCATGGAATCATACAAGCAGGTCACCTGTAATTCCTGCCTCCCGCTCGTCAAATCCTATGCCACTGCATGGTAACACTAGACAGTCACTCCAACCCCTGGAGCAATCCCTGTGTACATGTATCACCACTCATCAAATCCAAACACCATTTCATCCTCAGTGTTGCATTGAATCCGCCAAAACCAACTGCTGGAACAGGGTTTGCGTTAAATAAACTTCATAAAAATCTCCTTCAAAAAATTAAGTGTAGAATGAGTACCTCATGTTTATTCAGATAATCTGAAAATAAGCAAAATATGTAGATTGACTCACACATGCACTTCACTGAGCGTTTGTGGTACCACACATGCTGTGATTTGAAAGGGTCCGTGCCGTGCAGTTTTACTACATGTAGATGCCCTTGGAAATGCACGTTTGTGTTTCATTAATCTCTGTTTTCTGTTTTTGTTTGCTTTTTCAAAGGATCTTTTGTTGTCGTTTTTGTTTCTTTTATGCCTTGTTCCATATTCATGTAGAAACATACCGGCATGATGTTCCCCTGTGAGTGAAGACCTCAATTTGTGCACTTAAAACTCTATTTTTTTACAATTTTGGTGTCCTTATTTCTTTGATGATTTATTGTTGTGTAAGAACTTGGCAATAAGCCAACGAACAAACTTACACATATTTCAGGAATGGTATCAGTGAACAAATTTGGGGCTCATTTTCACAAATTAACCAACCCCCCCCACAACAAAACGGTATCTTCCCGCGAGGGCGCTGTTGTACAGAAAAGCATGAACAATGTTGAACGGGTAAAAAGGCTGACCGTTCAATACTCTTCATCCACAAAAGAGGTGAAGTAGTTTTCATACATGGAGGATGAAGGGGCACAAAAAGTGGGATGAGAAAAACTCATCACTGGGACCCTCAAGGCCTCTATGGAGGGGGGCACACGTTACATACATGTAGGTACATGTGGAGACCATGCTATTAGCGTATTGGAGGTACATGTATGGTGGACAAAGTAGGAGGGCGCTATTTGGTTCGTGTAAATTCATTTGTGTTTACTCCAATTCCACCCACTGCAAATAGCAACCTCTTCTAGCGTCTGCTGTGCTTCAAAAAGCCACTGCAACCAATGTTCCTTATTTCTTTGAGTCCACAAACTAGTTCTTGTTTTAGGAAATTTCCATCAATGTTTGCCTTTCTGTCACCAGGGCACCTTGCCTTTTGGCCATAAACTTCTTTATTTATTCTCTGCATGCTTTGTCTGCAAACAATAACTCTGTATGTAGCAGGAACTCTGACGTATTTGTTTATGTACAAATGTGGTTTTATGCAAAGCTTCCAGAATTTTGGTTTGGTCTGGGAAAAGTGTTGTCATTTGCATGTCCAATCAGCTTTTGAAACTCGGTAGATTTGGGCCCTGTTTGTTTCACACCAGTGTGGATCCGGATCGGTGATCTATCAATGGTTCACAGACACCCGAATCAATCAGCAGCATTCAGATCACTGTTTGAGAACTGTATCCCGGTGAAACAAGCATGTCCTTAGAATGCTTGCATGTAGCATTTAGATCTGTAGTAATTTGAAGGTACAATTCTGAAGAGTTCTATTCATTTTTTTGGTGTTTTTGGAGGATAAATTAATCCTGAAAGAGTGTGTGGGGAGGGGGGGTTCAGCGCCCTCTCTCAACTTTTCTGCCCCATACGACTGCAATGCATTATTTCATGTGCTGAGCTTTGAGGAGTTTTTTTTTCTTTTAACATAAACATAATGCAGTCATTTTGGCACCAATCTTTTTGGGGAAAAAAAAAAGGGATATGGAATTCTCACCCAGTGCACATTTTCTAAGAGAGTTGAGGCAGAAATGCATACTTTTTGTACTGACTCAGTTTGTGGGCCAATGCGTACATGTATGAGGCCATGAAATTCAAACGGCCATCAATCAAATCGCCATGTCAGATCAAATTGAAAGGTCACATGATAGTGAGTATCCTCACTTGCATGCTTAGTTTCAAAATGATCTATTATGGGACCACCAAGATCTTGGGATGGCTGTGGGATGGTCCCCAAAACCCAGGCCTGTTAGGGTTACTAATTTTGCACTGCATGAGTTAACATTTTTATGTCCACTTCTACATTTTCACATTTTATATTCAACACAAGCATACATGTTCATGCATGTCCTCTTGCAACTAGTTGATTTCAATGGATTAATTGTTTTTAGAGCTTTCTTGAAATTTTGAATTTTCGAAAATATCAAGATTGATTGAATCTGTTTGTTATACTTATTAACATTTCCATCAAGTGCTAAGTAATTTGCTCAATGATTTGTGACCGGTAGTTTTCATTTAAACTCCAGCCACCCAATTTTATCCAAAGTTGTGATATTTGTTGATATATCAAGAGTTTGAATCAGCCAGTTAATTACTTTGCAAGCTTGGTGGTTGCATTGAAAAGACTCATTGGACTGGTAAACAGATGATTGTTGGTTCAGGTTCCACTCATGGTCGGATCCAGACCGAATTTTTTTAGGGGGGAGAGCAAAACAAGTAGGCAGCATCCCTGGTGCACTTTTGCGTTAACTGATCGCACCAGTCACAGTTAAGCAGCTGGTTAGAAAAATTTTTAGAACAAAATAGCTCTGTCCATACAAAAAACCTCCATATAATATCTTAATTTTAATAATAGAAAAAACCCTTCTTCGGGGGAGGGGGGGCCACAGGATCGGCCCTTTGTCCCACTTGACCCAGCTTGTGGGATGTTTTGTTGCCAACACACCATTGATGGAGACTTCAACCAAGATTGAATAGTTTGGGAAATAGGCAGTCATTCGTACAAACATGTTGACTTTTTGGGTTGTTTCGGTCACCAGGTTGATCAGTGCCTATGGAACGAGCGCAACAGCGGACTCCTCACTTACGACCACCCTGATGCCAGAAGTATTGGCATGCACTGTGTCAAATGTGACATGTGCAAAAGTGGAAAAATTGTTGAAACTCATTGCTCATGCACTAACTCATCAATCAAGACAAAGTGAGTGACACTTTACTCATTTGTGTGCCACCCTTGTGTGTTAAAATTACTCCCATAATGTTGCCTATGTAGAAAGGTCTTGACTTTTTAAAATGATTTCAACAATTTATTACAGTTTTGACGTGTACGAAATGCATCACATCCTGATGTGCAGTGAAACATGTGACCCGGTCTATAAAAATGACTCACAAGTCTCAGGAGCAACTTTTGAGTTCTACTTTGTATCAGATTGAGTAATTTGAGCTCTTTCTTTTGGTGTATCACTCAGTTTGATGTGATGTGGGCGTTGTGTAGATGTTGAGGATACCTATTGCTTTAAATACTGTGCAAAATTCTAGTTATCTTCCAAAATTTTTAAACTCAAAAGTGGTTCTGGCAACATATGACTCATTTTTACAGAGCGGGTCACAAATAGCTTTTGACAAATCGGTATGCTGTTCTCGACTTGCTATTCATTTTCTGTTGTGGACAACCTTGCTAACAATTATGTTGAAAATTTTTTTTGAATGCATTGGTGTTCATTCAGCCCTATGATGCTTTACTCCATTGATACCATTATTCCAGCTTTTTCTTCAATTTAATCCCTTTTTGGCTCTCACAACTCCACTATAAAACTTCAAATTCTGTTTCCTTTGATCTTTGCCCTCTCTTGTCCCTCCCATGTTAATCCT